CGTATCTTCAAATAATAATACCACAACTTGTAACTGGAAAATAACACAAAAACATAAAATTAATAATATTTACAATAATTACTGTATATATACTGGAAGTAGTTTGTTTTACTAATATTTGTCATTTAGGGAAGTTTTAATATTGACAATAGAACAACAATCTATCTTAAAACATGGCAGATTATTTATAATAAATTAAAATCGTCCCTCCCCACAACAAAGCATAAATATAAATATTATTCTATACCTTCCTGGTAATACTCTTAGTGCTCTCTCATATATTAGGTTGACTGCTGATGAGTGGGCGTGGTCACTCTTAATCTATTTGTGTTCAATGTACTTTATCCAGCACTTTACACTGTAAGGATGACGTAGTATTTCTTCTTCAAAAGGAATGTCAGCATCTTCCTATTGTTATTGTTAGTAAGGATCAGTTCTTGTTAGCTTACAAAGGATATGTCTTTCTTTTCTCTGGTTGACTTTTCTGACCCACTTTCCTCCATGTTTTATCCGTAATCTGATTCAGTAAACTTAGGTATTTCCGTATATTATATATGTACGCTAAATTTTTTCTACGCGTGCGCAATTCAACCAGTATCTATGGTTCAACAATTATTTTCAGATTTTCAATTTCATTAACATCATGAAAAATTTTGATTTTAAGTCACAACAAAGCAGCAGTAAGTATTTGTGAAACTACAAAAAATCAGTACTAAGTCTAATGCTACAAAATACGAAAAATAGTCTGATACTACAAAAAACTAATACTACAAAAGTACTAATCTAAAAAACTATAACAGCAGCAAAAATTATGGCCTACAATACTTCGCTCTAATGTTAATAGCAATGCCATCTGTTCCAATTTTTTCCAGTGCCGTAGCTAATGATAACCAACTGGGACCTCCTTTCTCTCTCACTTTATCTTCTTTCTTTAACCAGGCAGCCATGCACTCCATTAGACACTTTTTAACACTTCCATGATCTGCTTTAATGGCTTCCAGCGTAGTGTGGTACAGTCCTAAGTGGACACCCAGTGTTTTCCACTCAGTGTAATCAATTGACTGTAACTCTTCAATGACATAATCAAGATCACTAATGTCTATGTGGGAAATGATAATAATGTCATCATTGACTTAAGTTAACATGTGCGTATTGCACATGTATATTTATACATTCAGCATCTCTAATTAAATGCACTCAGGCCAAAAAACCAGTAATAATGATTGGCAATCAAAACACAGTGCATATACATGTACATGTAAATGATGTGACTTTGTCATTCACTATAGTTCATTATATAATATAATAAGGCAGACCATAGTTAAATTTTGCATTAGTATGTGTCAATTATAATTATTTTGAGTGATTTGCAAAATTATGACCCAACAAAAGTTACCCTGTCTTTAATGCAATCATGAATATTTACCTAGCAGTTTCACATCAGACTCATGAGAATGAACTCCCTTTTTGATTCTCCTCTTGGACTATAAGAAATGAAAATGATAAGACTGGAATAATACCGTAAAAATTACATTATTTCTTTTTGGTGACTTTGCTGTTGCTGTGGGTGGCATTTGTGTTGCTGGTGTTGACTGCATAAATATTGTAAAGTAAAAAAAATAAGAAGATAGATAAAATTCATTCTTTACCTGACTGGTGTCTTTAAACCAAACTTTCTCTTGTTCAGTAAGAACTCGGTAGTCATTCGTATTTTCGTCACAAAACACTTGAGAATCCTGAGTTGAAGTTGTTGGCGGAAGTGTTATGTAATGAAGTGGAGTTGTAGTTGGGCAGCTAGTGCAGACATACTTGAACTCGTGCTTGAATACATATTGAGTTGACTTGTTATTGGTAGTACCTCCACTGGCACACTTCATTAGTAGTTCTTCAACTTCCTTTGCTGCATCTTCTAAATAACCATGAATATCTTGACATATTTTTGTGAAGGAAACTAATTCGTGATCAAGATGATGATGTTGTACATTGATCTGAATAACATCAGTACAATCGGTGACTACTACATGCTCAATACTGGTGCTGTTGGGATCCTGATAACGGAGTGTAACATGGTTTCTGTAGACACCTTTTTCAAAACAAAGCTCAATTTTGCTTGCAAGTACAACCACAAAACGAGTGAAGAAACCAGGAGGTACATATCCACTATTGAAGGTAATATGAAGTGGTGCTGCTTGAATGATATCTGATGGTAAAGTCATTGAACTCCTGTTAACTTGTGTGGACTTGAGAACAAGAGGCATGAAATATTGCTTGGAAGGAGGAGGATATTTATCAGTC